TGGTGCAGGCTTTGCTCGTATCCGCATCGAGACAAAGCTAGACTCCAAGGTGGACGAGAAGTTTTCGAAGAGTGCCTCTCTAGCATCCGAAACTGTCAATGCAATCCGAACGGTCTCATCGCTAGCGATAGAGAAAAGTGTCATCAGGAGATACACCGCCGAGCTGGACCACGCCATCTCCAGCTCGACCATGCCTCTTTTCAACATGATGATCTGGTTCGCCCTTACTCAATCCATTGAGTTTTTTATTCTGGCGCTTGGCTTTTGGTGAGCACACTACTGTTCTCGCCCTCCCGTCTGCTTTTAGACTAACAAATCAGGTGGGGATCTAAACTCGTTTCTCAGGGAGAGGTCTCATTCTCTCAATTCATTGTTTCCTTCATGGGTGTCTTCTTTTCAGGACAAGCCGCAGGCATGATCTTCAGCTTTTCCAGCAGTAAGTACCAGTACCCGATGGGGATCTTCGATTACTGACCGCATGGCACCATCAGGCTTCACCAAAGCAAACGCTGCTGCAAACTACTACTTCTGGCTCACGAGTCTCGAGCCAACGATCCAGGACACAGATGACAATCAGGAGAAGGGCCCATCGAATGGCTGTAGCTCCATTGACTTTGAAAACGTCCAGTTTTCATACCCCTTGGCCCCAGACAGCCGCGTTCTCAAGGGTGTTTCTCTCACAGTGAGTCTTTCCATCTGCTCGAGATGGTCCAGCTCAACTAACAACCGTCAGATCGACCGCGGCCAATTTGTGGCATTTGTGGGTGCTTCTGGTTGCGGCAAAAGTACAATGATCTCACTGCTCGAACGCTTCTATGACCCGACTAGCGGGGCCATCACCATCGACAACTCCGCTCCCCTCACGGCCATCTCTCCTCGCCTCTATCGCAACAAACTCGCTTTAGTCCAACAAGAACCCACTCTCTTCCCCGGCAGCATTCGGGAGAACATCGCAGCCGGAATGGATATTGGTCCTGAAGAACAAGTCGACGATGCCGTAATTGAAGAAGCATGTCGGGCTGCCAATGCATGGGACTTTGTGAGCTCTCTTCCCGAAGGTCTCAACACGCCGTGTGGTCAAGGAGGCAACCAGCTTTCAGGAGGACAGAGACAACGCATCGCTATCGCTAGAGCGCTGGTCAGGAATCCCAGCGTCATTCTACTGGATGAAGCCACCAGTGCCTTGGACACGGAGTCGGAGAAGGTGGTTCAAAAGGCTTTGATGGAGGCAGCCGCAACGGGGGATCGCATCACCATCGCGGTGGCGCACCGCCTCTCGACGGTCCGTGATGCCAATCGGATTTGCGTCTTCTACGGCGGGCGCATTGTGGAATCGGGTACCCATAATGAACTGATTGAGCAGGGAGGCATGTACAAAAAGATGTGTGAGGCCCAGAGTCTGGATAGAGCGGCTTAGACGTGGATGTGAACGAACGTGAGTCCGAGTTCGGCGCGGCGATTTTCGTCATCTGCATGGCATGGCGAGCGATAATTCACTTTCACTTCTTGTAAGACTTAGATTTTTAGAATACCCAGGAGTGAGCTGTCTCCTCCGGATTGCCGTAGTAGGAAAGTAGTTGTTAAATAGTACTTTCGCCGCGAAGGAACGACACCCAGAGAGGCGGCCCAGCGCTATTCGACCCACCCGCGTCTGGCGCGTTCATCTGCGTGGCACTATAGTCATATTCATGCATCACCGTCCTCTCGCTTGTCAACCTCCCATCCGGTGTTGAGTAGTTCACGAACACAATTGCTAAATCTGTAGGGCTAGATCTGTAAAGCTAAATCTGTAGAAAATCAAAAGCAGCCGGTACTCCATGTATGAAGTGCCGGGCACGACGGTTGTCGTCTGGAATGACAGGCTGCCGCACGCTCTCACTACGCAGATGGACTTTGGCCAGCCATTCGCTGACGCATCAAATGTTAGACGTAGTTGATAACATTTCCAGGTTTGTATATCTCCAATCCAAGGCAGTCAAAAGAAGAACGTCAAACGTGCTCTTTGTCACGCCGTAGAGATGAAAGCTTACGCCGGGGTCTCTCACGGCCATCTTGGCTGTGCAGTCAATCGAGGACCATCGAAAAATGAAACATAGGGAAACACTCGAGACCACTGAGGTTTCCTGGGTACTTCTGATGTTGAGCTACCTTACCTTGGCGTAGGTATAAGAGCCATTGTGGACAGCTTCGCTGTTCACCACAAGTGAGACCTCTACAGCGTAAGGCAGCCTATGCATGTCAGCGCCTACCTATATGTAAATGATAGTCACCAGTGTACGGTTACAGGCTGCCGTAGCCCGCCTGGCGCCAGCCCCAACACGTTCAGACACTAGCCGAAAACGCCACACCGCAGCACATGCTAAGCCCTGCAGTCCTGGGCGATCGGCTGGCGGTGTTTTGCAAGGCAGACAGAACCATCTGCACATCCATGCTTGTGAAGTGCCTGTAAATGGGCGAAAGGAATGCTAGAGAACCAAGCTATTGCAGCATCTACCAGTTGCGGTTGAACAGGATCATTTTGAGATAGACGCCAAATTTTCAAGATACAGACAGATGCGTGAGGATCTCGTTCTTAGCTACTTAGTCACATAGAGCTCACGCATGTATTATCCAGGCGGGCTAGGAGACAGGCAGGTACCTAACGATGTCTCAATTCCTGCGCCGCATACCTCATTTTTTGCGACAAATTCGGGGTTCCAGCGGTGACCAATCAGCGGCTGCCACTCGAACAAAAGTAGAGTGACATGAATTCTCTTCTTCAGGCTTAGTGCCTGATAGCGCTCACTGCCTCCAGCGTATTTTCCAAACTGAGAATAGCCTCCTTCTGTCAGTCACGACGTCACTGTCACCCAAATATACTATATATCAGTTCCCAAGTGACGCCGAGACGCCAAATCTCTCAGCATTATCACGACCTCGCGAAAAAATAGTTGAACGAGGCCATCACCACTTATAACTTCCTCAACGCTATCGAAGCTATAGACACAGCCAACTTTCTCCCCCAAGAAATATTGTACAAGTTATTCCATTCCATCAAAGCACTATAATAGCAGCATACCGACCATTCCCAAACCATACCCACCATGAGTTCAGTCTCGTCTGGAAGCTCGGACTACAACGACGCGCCACCTGGTTACAAGGAAGCAATCGATTCGGGAAGCTTCGTATCACCAAGCGACAGCGGCATAATCAGCCAGCTCGACATCCAAGCCATTGGCTATGACACAACCCAGGCCCTCACGGGCAACAAGCTGGAGGATATCCCGGTGTGTCGCGTTGGCTCAGGCGAGCTAGAGTACACATCCATCCGGCTAAAGAAGAGCTCCAACTCCTGCGCTCTCGTCCGCGGTTCCGACTCCAGCCAGACACCTCTGATATCGACAATCTACCGTTGGGGCCCCGGTCGGCGTCCCAGAATGAAGATCCTAGCACCGGGAACTACCGCCACGGTGGAAGAGGCGATCAACTCGGATCACCTCGTCTGCGAGGTAGTCGAAGTCAAAAGCCGCAACATGATGTCGCGCACACAGGAATTCAAGACGTCTTTCGGCACATTTGAGTGGCGCTACGGCGGGCGCGACGAGCGCAAGGAAGCCTCCGAGGCGTCCTCCCTCTTGGTCTTGGAACGTACTGACGACGCCGCCACGGCCTTGGCTGGTAATAGTGGCAAGGTGGGCAAGCACGGCGTCCCGGTCGCGCAGCTTGTGCGCAACAAGGAGCTCCGGACCCAAGGCACGAGTCGCTGGATGGGCGGCAACGGCGGGCGTTTGATTATGAACCTCGGAATGTGGGCGGATGATAAGAAAACGACTACCAAGGACGCCGAAGCTTTCATCGTCGCCAGCTGTATCCTCATGCTCAAACGAGAGGCTGATCGGTTCAAGGACAACACGATTGCCGCCGTTGTCTAAGACAGATAGGATTGGGTGGCCCTTAGATGATGAGATTATCTATGAGGAGGCCTGTGAGCGGCGAACAGTGTTTTAACCCTTTTTTATAACATGGCGTCAGGTGTGGAAGGCAGCGCTCAGGAAAACTGCGTTGATATCCTGTGGGTATTCGGGCTTTTCTCTGCCACTTAGAAACTCTGGACAGTTGAACTCTAGACGGTTTTAAATCAATCTCAAATCAAACCTTGAATAAATACGCTTTTGTTTGCGAATCAAAATCTAATAAATGCAGGGGGCCATACGATGAAAGACGATGCACGTTGCTTGCAACAGCTACACGTAGTAGTTAGTTGAATCGCAGAAGAGCATGAGTATTCAATCAAAGATTTTCCATGGGAATTTTGTCCAGAGAAATGAATCCAGGTCACTCAACTTTTGGTTCCAGTGGAAGGGTTGAGCGAAGCCAAGCGCGGGTCAAGCATAGTTGCGACTCACCCGGAATAGGCTCGGCATGGAACGAGCAATGGAGGCATCGCATTGTTCCAATGCTTCACAGGAAATGAACGACGCTCATTCAAGTGCACAAGCATGGTGGATTACTAAAAGTCCGATGGTTACTAGTATGATTTGTCTGCTTGAAAGGATGGCGTCAGTTTACAAGGGCTAAAGAAGCATTTAAGAAAGTGGTTCAACGGCAAGGCCCTGTTGAGGCACTCTCTACTATAGTCCGTGGCAGTAAATCGAAAATCGTAGAACTATTCTTTCGTCGACCTTGGCAGACGGCCGGTTGCAATCCTGCCGTTTCTGGCACCGTCGAGTTTGAAGGAATTGGCTTGGGAGAAAGGCAATAATGCCCTACATAGAAGTCGCCTTTGACTGGAGATGATGCAGTACTCGGCGTTAAGACATCTTCCCTTCCAAGGATGCGCAACAGAAGATTTGGGAACCCGTTTCTGGTCGTTTCCAAACCACAGACAGCAGCCTTTTCAAGTTGGAACGTTCTGCTCTCAGACTACTTTACCTGCCCAATAGCCTGCATTTGTCAACCATGAAGCATCCAAGCCTCATGGTATTATCACTTGTTAGTCTTCCAAATTCCGACGCATCACCATGGCTCCGCCAGGTATTACCGGTGATTCTTCGCGCAAAAGATCAGCTTCACCGTTACCTAGCGATGGAAATAATCGCTACGAGTTACGCAGCAAGGCAAAGGTAGTTTTCCTATTTTGTCATCGATCCCACACTTCTAAATGTCACACAACGGGACTTACTAATTTACTTCCACTTGTTAATTGATTTGTCCCTGGTCACCGAATGAAAAGCTAACATCCTCAAGAAAGCGAAAGTTGGCCAGAAGCTAGGTTTCTTGTAAGTCTCCACGTCGAATGTGTAAAGTGGGCTTATGCTGACAACAAAGTCCTAGATCACTGCCAGCCGAGTTACGCAACATGGTCTATGATCTCACCCTCGTACAAAGACGAATCATCATCAACTGTGATCGTCGCAACATGCGTTTTCGACACAATCGAAACCATCCTGTCTCTGGTCCTCTCATACGCACCTGCAAGACGGTTTACGCTGATGCCAGAGCTCTAATGTACTCAGCCACATTCGAGCTTGAGAACATGGATTACCTCGAGAAATGGCTGAGAACCCTCGGTTCAGGAGCTGTCGACATACGAGACATCAGATTGACACGGTCATTCCAAGCATACTTCGCTCAAAGTTACGGAGTTAATCTCCCGGTGCGGAACCAAAAAGATTACAGAGCTACCACGCGACAGGTTGCCAAACTCCTGAGTGGCTGCCGACATCTCGAAAATCTAGACTTGGGCTTCTTGTACACCAAGAAGTTCCGGACGACGCCCCTCATCGAGAACAAAGATAACCCTGCGTACTGGCAAAAGGAGGCACGACTTCTTGCCGAGATGGTGTTCCGCGATTTGTTCGTCCTGCTAGTAGCGGCTAAGGCTTCCGGCAAGACAGTGGACCAAGTGGCGAGCTTACCCCAAATCCACCACAAGAACTTTGAGTGTATCAAACACCATCCCTCCAATGTGGGGAATGGCAATCCACAACGAGAAACAGCTTGTCACATGAAGTTATTGATTGCGAAGTACATCGGAAATCGATCACACCCCCGGAAGCCAGGTAGCTCAGCTTTTTTGGCATAGTCCATCTAGGTCACAGCAACCGGAAACTAAATGAGCGTCAACGGCTAAAGATGTGTCGAGTTTACTGGAAAGCGAGCAGCGTTCCAGCAGTTGGAATGCCCTCAGTGATATCCGGTTATACGCGGCAAAACGAGCAGATAGCGGCGTCACAGGCACCACAAGCATCGCAGGCGAGATGAATCGTGCAGTTGAGCATTTGATAACACCGGGAAACACGGCATCTGCTTGGGCAGCAGATGAAGACTGGCAGCGGATTAGGAAGAAAGTTGAAGGTCAAAAGCATCATAGCTATTGATCCCTGTATTTTACATTAGTTGTTAGCGGGAGGAAATGCAATTCGTAAATTGAACATGGCTTTACTTACAAGCAACGCTGAGATATGCGGCTTATTCAGTTTATCAGCCTCGCGCATTCTCAAGGCAGAACATGATCCCTCAATGTATGCTAGTGATCAGTGATGCTTCAAGTAAGTTTCTGAAGGGGAAACCTAGCCGGAAGAGTAATCAAAGATTGTGATGTCTCTCATTGAAGGAGAGGACGATTTTTGTCATCATGGTGAGCGGCGTCGGCTTGTGGATAGGGAAGACTGAGATTGGACTTATCGCATTGAAGGCGGTCCATATTCGAAATCTCAGACTCGAGAAAGAAAATATGGTCAACGGACTGTTCTGCGGACTTCGGGGGGATTTGGGTGAAAGAGATAAGTTTCTTTTAGAGCAAGCTTGGCCTTGCCTTTACCTGGAAACAACCAGTCGCTCATCAATATTTTCCAATTCAGATGTTGCACAACTTTTAGATGCAGGAGACCCATCGAGCCACAGATAATTGCGAGCATGCCATCATGATCAGACACATCACTCTGAGGCGACGCTTGAAATCAAACAAATCCGCCTTTATCATAGTTTGTTGAAACAATTCCGTGGCGAATGGCGCAGCCGTTTGGCGCATTGGCCAGTAATTCCGGCAGGAATTAAGGAATGGTCTCAATAGTATGTAATGACTAGCCAGAGGATTAGGATCTGGTGTCTAAAATTGGCATGGTGATAACAAGGAAGAACTTGGTTCGACTTCAAACAAAACATACCTCAACACTGGCCACTGATCCTAGCCCAAGTCTCCGAGCAATCTGTAACTGTTTGCGCTAACAAGCATTTCTAATCCGCGTCTCGCGCAAAAGTTCAGAATACGTAATTTGAATGCTTATACGAATTTATAGGGTATCAAAATGGAGCTTCTGCTTCTAAATTACAAAGATTGGTATGGCCAAATGACATCGCTTTGTAAAAGTTGTCGTTGCCTCTGAACGATGCCTGGTATCTCGTGATATTTGGCAGGTCGACTTCGGGTTGCTAGCGGGACACGGAGGTACAGGACATAGGCCGCCGTATCGCCTTGCTTGAGTCGATATCGATTATGGCGACCCTTTGTCTATGCCAATGTGACAGGTATCGCTGGTGTCCTGCACCGTGGTTTGATGTGGGATTCACTTAAGGAGCGTTGTACTTGTTGTTTGCGCTGTCTCAATTTCGGTGTTTGCGGTCTTTCGTAATGTTTGTAGTGAGTGCGTGGTTACTGCAACCTAGAGTTGTGTACATTAGTTTCTGCTGTTGACTAACTGGTCCATCATAGAGAAGATTTGGCTTACATTTTCGGTGTCGTTCAGTTGTTCACCGGTGGTTGATCCAGTAAATGAAGCCGCCTACACCAAATATACATGTACCAGCTGTGCACATAAGTCAGCTAAAGTTTCGGTTACAACCACGCAGCTCTGGTGTAAGTCCACCTACCCACTGCCAGTGTCTCTAGAACAGTGTGGTCGACGCTCCTTTTCATTATCTCGTGACCAACTTCCATCATCCCCTCCTGGATGAGTCGCGTATCGAGAACAGGCATGTTGATTAAGTGGGTAGTAGATAAAGAAACGCGATTCCGAGGGACCAGCGATAGAATGCAAATAAGTGCAACTAATCAGAAGGAGACGCGCAACGATCGCCGGGATCAAGAAACTGAACGAGCCTTTCTTTTGCAGACGAACTAAAACAAATTTGTGGTGCTGGGTGCCCATATATCATCAAATTCTAGGTCTCTCCGATCGCGTCGGTCCCACATCACAACCATGCCGGTGCGACGGGGGAGGGCCAGGGTTCGTGGGATAATCACCAGATAATGCCAAGAGATTCGAAGCGCCAACCTGGGTCCGTATGGTCATTCCCACACACGCGGGCTTGGGAATGGGCTCATGTCATCTCATTTCGGTTTCAAAAGGGGGTGCAGCAAATGCGAGAGGATTGCGTTATCACAGTCAGAGGAGATGGTCCCATTGACTAAAAGGTAGTTTCGGGGCCGCCCTTGAACTGGGCTGGTACCGGGCCTTGGGGTCGCATTCTCGTCGAAGAACCCCACCAACTCATCTGTCACCTGGGGTTTGTGGGTTTTTCCAACCTTGATTTACGGATCTACGAACCACTACCGATGACTACTAGACATTTGAACTAACTAGTCTACTTCAATGCGCTGTCGCCTGCACGTCTAAGAAGTTGAAGCCGTTCAGCCAACCATTCTTTTGTCATTCATATTTTCCATTACAGCATCTCCTATCCTTTCCCCCTTCAAGTTTTACCAACAGCACAGCCTCACACCATTGTCCTGCGACTTTATCGCGATGTGAAGCCCAAGTGAGTCCATTCTGAGGCGAGAACACTGTGGGCCCCCACCGTTTCAGCCTCCTGAAACAAGGAGGATCTACGGAGAGTTGCGTGAACCCCTGCCCAACTGAATGCCGCGTCGCCTCATCTACCCTCTCCGTCCGCCGGCCGGAGCATCTTATTACATTAGACGGCGAGGAGTTCTTCATCGTCCAATGTCAGGAACCAATCCAGCGATCACGTTCCTCGGTTGTGATCTTACGGGCAAGTGGAAACGAGCGCCGCTTCAGCCGCATCGGATTGCTAGACATTACTCGCTCAACTTCGTCCTTTTGAAGTTTCCGAGTCCGACTGACTTAAATGCCCACAGCTCAGCTATCCATCAATGGCTGAGTGCAATAAAGTTTTTACCTTTTGTAACGCTGCTAGCCAAGCTATAATCCTCACTTGGCAGCAGTGGCTCCCCTGATGTGAGAAGCCGCGACGTCTTGGCCAAGCTCTTGGCCTCGTGTCTTCCAGCGCTGCCACGTCGGCACTTACGTGATTTGAGACGACCCAAGAATTTTCGACCGCAGAGATAATCAAAGCGAAGTATTCTTCATTTAGGTGTGTTGGTGGCAGAATGTAGGAAGTAATCGAGCCTCGTTGGGATCAGAACATGCTTGAGCGATCGAGAGCAGGTATTGGAGCTTTGTTAGCTCCAACGACTCGTTTGCAATCTCGACTGACTGCTTTGCATAGACAACGGCGATGAGACCAAACACGAAGCTGATAACCGCCAGGACGGCCACAAAACAAGCGATCCAGAAGTTGGCTGATTCAATGAGATTCGGTCGATCTCGACGGGGAAGAAATTGTCGAAAGCCCACAGGTGGTCCATCCAGGATATCAACGAGTTGTTGAATCTGCTTTCCCCAGTGTTCGTAGTCACTCAGATTCGACTTTAGGGTCCTCCTGCAAAGGATCAAATTGTTGAATGTCTGCCTCTGCTTGTCGAGGAAGGATTTGGTACCAGCGTCGTGGAGTGGAAATAGCAGATTCAACGTGTCTAGTGCCTCGTCTATGACCGTTGCAGGTAGAAAACATTGGCTTTCACTACCTGAATGGGCAGATAACCAGATCTTGTGTTGGAAGATTGAGATCACTCTGTGTTCGGGACTGACATTGAGGTGCTGATGTAGGCAGCTTGTCCAGTTGACGCTGTATCCGTGATGCATCACAAGATGGCTGATTGTCAATTGTGGAGGTATCACACCCGTACAATTTGCGTCATTTTGACTGACTGAAAAGCCAGTTGCCAAAGTGTGGTTCAATGACGCATCAGTCTCCCAGAAGGGAAGCGAAATGTCCGCTGGCTTTGAGATCTCGGATGTTCGAACCTGTGTCATTGACACAAGGGAGGAGGCAAGTCGCATGAGTTCCTTGACTCGTCCATCTGACTCTGTGAAAGCAGGTAAATCAAGTGCCAGATGACTGATGATGTCCGTCATGGATTGAAAGGCTGAGGAACGAACATGCGCCACCAATTCGGCAACTCTCTCCTCTATTTGTACGGGAGGGCCAGAATTTTCGATCAACTTCAAAGCAGCCATGCTGCGAGCGATCTCATATCTAACGTGTGCTGCTAGCATGCGATAATGAGATGTATGGTAGATCTCTCTCGACAGGGCGGGCCAGATGAGGTGGCAAATCTGTGCGTCTCCTCGGACGTGAACACCAGCTGCACGATGTCCCGAAAGTTGGTTCATTCTGAAGGGAGGAGCCATTCTAGCATGGGTAAAATCATCTGTCAATTTGAGATTATTGAAAAGAGCTTTTGTAGTTCTGAAGACGTGGCGATGACGGGTAGGTTAAAAGTATAGCTTCGGGGATGAGTGACGTTACTGCAGGTGGGGGACTCGGGGAAGTTGGGGAACACGGATTAACATGTTCAGTCCATGAATGGGCACTGCCTACTTTTGTGCCTATGGCGCAGCCTGCAGGGCCAAGATGAGGCGGAAGGATGCCTTACACACTATTTGCGATATTTCGTCTTGATTGGTCTTGCGGTGACGATGTCATCACCTTCCCCCACTTGTATTTTATGTGCGTCCTGGGTTCTTCAACCATAATTCCTCTTTCTTCCCTCATTCCGTTTAGTATCGCTTCAAATCAATGAACGGAACGTTAATGGCGACGCACATTCAGAGTCAGACGAGTTCGACAGATTTCTCGCCGCTGGCCGAGGTGAATCGGACTACTACTACTTCGGACATGTTCAAGGCTGTCTGCCGATGGTTCGGGATTCAGAACGATGCGGAAGCGCTTCGAGCTGACCCAGCACATGGGGTTCAGGCTGTGCCAAATGCTCAGGTAGTGATTTCAAGAAAGAACGAGGGATCTGTCGTTCACGCTTCTGGCGTGTCGTTTTCTTCTAAGCCTCGTCTGCCTCCGCCACTTGCCCCGAAGTCAATCTCTTCAGATGTACATATCCTGCCACACGATACAGGAAACCAGCGTCCAGGTGTATCCAAGGCCAATTCAGCTCAGCAACAGCTTTCAAATGACGCATGTCCCATAGCCGATCCTTCGATTCCTTCTATCAACATCACCACCCACGCCTCGCGACAGCAATTTGTTGATTATGGCGCAATTGTCTCCACTACGGATCCTTTTGTCTGGAAGTTCCCGGGCACCAAGGTCTGGGTTGGTTCCGAGACCCTATTTCCAATTCCTGAAGAAGTCCAGACTCTATGGGAACGCGTCAAGGGAGGTCTTTTAGCCACACTCGAAGCGGTTGAAGGAGAGATGATGAGGGAACAATCACAAGAACCAAGTCTTAGAAAGAGACACGTTCGAAGGAGAAGATTCATGACCGAGCTGCGCATGTCTGGCTGCTGTCAAAAACTTAAGACTGGCAAGGATCGTAAGGTCAACCTTTATCCTTGTGTTTGGATTTTATGTGGCAGCAAATGGTGCCGCAACAAGATCCGCAAAGCAACCGAAAGACTGGAGCTTCCCCAGAATCTTTCTAGCCAGCGTATCGAGGTCCACGAGGGTGGCCCAACTTTCAATGCTTCTGAAGTCAACATCCCTCGTTCGCAGCTTGACAATGACCGGGCACTGGTTCCAGGCGTCGCTCATTCTGGAGGCACGATTCTCCATCACATCGAAGTTTCCCCAAAGCAGGAGTGCGGTTCAATTTGTGGCATACTCTGTTGCACCACATTTGTCAAAGATGGAAACGTAATCGATCAGCATGTTTCACGCATCGGAGGCGTGCTCACGGAAACATTCTTCGACCTTGATTATAAGATCTGGCCTCTTGCTTTGACTACGGCGCATGGAATTTTCGATCTCCTTCTTTCTGAGGCCAGCGACGACTGCGAGCTGAAACCTGACTCAGGGAAGAGCAAGTACCTCCAGACATCGGCATCTGTCCATTCTTCCGACTCCGAATCAGTGTATGACACAGACGAAGAAAGTAGCGAATCTGAAGCAGAGATTGAGGTACTAGGTGACAAGAGCGCATCGAGCGTGACGAAATGGACACGGGTTGAAGATGTTGTCGGTATCAACTTTATGGGAGAGCGTCTCTCGTCTAAAGAGTTTTTTGACAGGGGTCCACCTGCCGACTATACGATCTTAAGATCAGACGTGTTGAATAGTTGTCGGAATATCATCTCGTCGGATCCAAGTGTCGAAGTCACGACATTTGTGCTCAACTCTCATCTCACATCCGGGCCAGTATCGTTGATTATTGGCGTTGACGAAGTAAGCGAGGCAATTTTGCTTCCAGACATTGTAAAAATGCCATGGCGTCAAGAAGCTCTATTGGTGAGAAAGATTTATACATCGGCACCATTAGGTATATGATCCCTGATATATTCCGTCTTTGATGTCCGTATCTATCTGTTTCTAACGTGTTCATAGCTGTGGGAACCTCAGGGATGTGGGTTTGCAGAGGCTCTGCCTTCTGCGGTATGATTGTTGCTGTTTATCCCGGAGAACCTCTTGCTCTTTTCATGACCGCAGAAGACCTTCTGAAAGACATGGGCACTTCCTTTCCAGTATCAAGACAGCCGTCGCTCTCGAACCTGCTTCAAAGCAGCACTTCGATCGAATCTGAGGAAAGCGACGCGATACGCAATGATGTGAATCGGGAATCGACGCCAGATGACACTCTCCCGAAGGCAAAAGGCAGCGACTCCTCCAAGCGCAAACGAAGCTTTAGAACGACCTTCGGAACCAGCTCCAGGGGTTCCATGAGATACGAGTATCGCCAGATTTGGACCTGTGTAAGTACTGACTACTTAGTAGTCCTCTGTGGAGGTTGATCGAAAACCCACTAACCGTACTATTGAATATCATAGTGTAATTGTGGTGACAGCGGCATGTCCGCCACCTATTCACCGGGGTGTCCAACGTGCCATGTCTATCGGTGTGCGAATTGTCCTCTTCAACAAGTTAAAGTCAGAGTCTCTTGACGCAACTCTGTGGAGACAGGAAAGAGAAAAACATTAGAGAAAGATGTCATTTTCTGAGACATCTCCAGGAACCTTTTCATGTGGAGGAGAAACGGAGCGTGAGACGAAGAACAATTAGCCGTAGAGGCTTCAGTTGTGTCATGGCAAATATGCGACAAGCATAGCCTGCAAACGGGAATAGCTCCCGTTTGCTGTTACTATAAATCATTCTGGCTGATGGAGAGCTTAACGATTGCTTTTTCAACCAGGGTAAACTACGCCTGAACGATGAATCTTATAATATAAAGCAACGCCTTTAGGAGAGTGCCAATGTGACGCGAAGGTAGATAAGAAGATTACCACCTGTGCATTAGTTCAGTAGCTGGATGAAACAGAGAATACTACACCAACTCCCATCGACGATGTGCTTCATCGTTCAGGGGCTCGCGTTGCAAAAGCCATGTAACGAGTTCTGACTGATGATCTTGCCATGCGTCGTCGAAGTTTTGGTCATGCGCAGCCTTCGTCGACATGTTCTGGAGTGGGTTCACGATATGATACCACGGAGCCTATCACCCAGCTCAATTCTCCGATAAACTCGGCAAGAGGATTGTTTCAATAGAATCAACGATGAGGCTTCAGGTTCCTGGCCATGTTCCATTGACAGCGAGCAGAACTGAAGCTGTCATTCTTTGATTCTCTTAGGGTAAGCGATACCACCATGGGATTTCAGGGCTGAGGTTTCGAGATGGATTCTGCGGCTACTTGACATCCAGGATTGACAGGAAAAACATCACCGCTTAGATTCCCACAAACGCGACGTAATGTGGCTCTATTCCCGAAGCTAGAATTCCGCCGTAGACCGCGAAACTTAGGTACTGATCCAAAGGGGTAAAGTGACTTCATCTTTAGGGATTCAAAGCCGCCTCAATGCATAATCTCATGTTGTCCTGGTATTGTTGATATCCCTATTACAGGGTAGTTGGTTCGAACCGTGGGTTGACGAAGAGATCAATTGAACTATATGAATTTCTGCGTAGTGTAAAAAGGAGGTTCCAACCGTAGGTTGGGCTGGCTACGATAATCGTAAATAGGGCCCCCAATTGGCCCCTGCGCAGTTGGCCGTATGCCGCGGTCGAATTGGACTTCCAATCCGACAGGTATACCTTATGTATTCGTAATGTCTCGATCATAGCCATATTGAATCAATATTTCGTCCAGGACTTAGCAGAAGGACTGTCTTCCCATTGAAGAGCTCATGCATACGGGCACACTCGTGAAGCAGATGACGAAGCAGAATTCCTACCCCCGAGCCAAAACATAGGATCTTGACACGTTGACTTAAGGTAGCTTAAAGCGCACTGCTGACCTCCATGATACTAAGATGCATCTAGTTTGGACCGACACAAGATAATACGTCCTGAGACCAAAAGATGTTGAGAATCTATGTCTTGTCCCAGATTGAAAAGAAGAAACTTTCGATTGATCTCATTCAGCTAATCAACGCGGACTGAAATACTTCAAATCAGCAATTTTACGATTTCGCTTCGATCTAGCCTAAGGTAATAGTTGCACAAAGCAACGCCGACGCCATAGAGAACTAGGACTCGTTCTAACTCAATTAAATGCGCAGTGTTTGGCGTACGAGTAACAGTGTTGGTGATAGCATGAGTGATATGATCTTATATGCAAGGTATTGACCAAATTGCCCTCCATCGATATCGATGCCCACAAAATCATGGAAATTGAGCCAAAGTATTGTTGTTGCAAGTTTTGACTCAAAGGCACCGACGAGGGGTTTTAATCCGTGACTCTTTCACATCCTATCAAAGGAGCATGAAGCATTTCTCACAAAAGCTTTCCACGGGAAAATTCTCTCGTTTGTAGATTTTATTGGAGGAGCGATGAACGCATACATAGAAATTGTCACGGCATTGCCTGTAATCGTGATCGGTAGCTCGTTGATACTTGATCTTCCGGATGATCTTAGATGCTATCAGAATGATATTCCGTCGTTTGACGAGTGACCTCTAGCCAGTAGTCGCAAGCCTGATTGCGTTGTAGTACGCAGATCACAATGTTGAAATTTGTCCGCTCTGGGTCCTCGCGTGATATGATCTATTCAGAGGACGGATACCTGACAGACTTACCACCAATAATTGAGAAAGTAACTTTGGAGGCTGAATCACTTGATGGTCAGTCCATGCCCTCGCTTCCTCTCCAGCCATGTTGTTCATCGAATGCCTTGGGCTTCTGGTTCGTGAAGCATTCGCCAAAAGTTTCCTCATGTTTTTCAACATTTTATACCAAATTAGGCCTATTGTTGAAAGTCCACAAAACTCCTTCACTTAGTTTAGATGTTTTAGAATCAGAATTCTTTAGCCGAGAATTGAGTGGCCTAGACTGCATTAAGGCTGTAGGGCAAAGGGCCGAAGCAAGCTTCTGTATGAGACCTCGTACCCTTCAAGTTGAGATAAGCGTTCGCTACAGCAAGCCAGATACCAGTTTCCGCGAGAGTTATACAACAATTATGCTCCATTAGGCTGAATGATGAACCCCTAGAGGAAAATCATATTGTACAAGAGGCTTATCAAAGCATCAAGTCAAAGAAACCATGAATTAGACTTGCCGATCCCAATGCGGATCCAGTTTTGAGTCGGGCAAGCCAGAGAAACATCTCACAAAGATCCTAAATGTCTCTCACCAGAGGTTTCACGGAGCTCAAGTGAGAAACATTGGGCAATCAAACCACCGAATAGATCGTCAGGGGGGATATGTCAGATCTAAGTGATGTACCACATGCCCGCGGGCAAGTAGGTCAACCAGGATAAGATATCAACAATATAGGGAAACTGATAGTGGGATTGTTTTTAAATCTTTTTGGGACAGGTCAGTGAACTCTCGAGGAGTCTGATGTTGCCTTCTGTTCTAATCCGTTACGGGAACTTCATCGCAAGCCCCTGTTTAAGAGACTATTAACGAATACTTCTGCTGTCTTGACGCAGAGTAGGTCGGAATTTGACAAGAAGCATAACTCAATCTCTAAGAATACGATATTCTGAACTGTAACTTAATAGACTGAAAGCAAAGCGTGCAAGGAAGAATGGAGAGGGAAGTCTATGCTTTCAACTGACAGTTGAATTGCACTTAAAACCACACTCGTACAACAATAAGGAACTGCAAATGACACACCGACTTCGGAATATCGGAAACACAGGTACGAAATGAACATTCTGCATTCAGACAGACTTCGCTCATTTTTACTCGTCTAGATTGCCATTCGACCTTTTCTATGTGCTGTGCTCCTTGATGTATCCCCTAACAATCTCCCGCAAGTCACTTTGGGGAAGTTCCAAAATCTTGTTTGACTTGTCTTCCTCCTTGATAGTGTGGCCGGGTACGTCGCCAAACCAGTACTTTTGCAAAAACTCTTCAAAGGGGAAACGTCCCCCAGCCTTGAGCTTCTCCTTACCCTCCTTCTCTGCCTCATCGGCAGTCTTATGCTCGACTGTGAACTTCGACCCCGTCTCCTCTTCAAAGAGCTTGTGGAGCTGGTTCTGTGTGACTTCGAATTCGACAATGTTGATGTACTTGTTGGCCGTTTCGGCGGGGTGTTGCAGCACCGCGACAATGCCCTCAGCGAGGAAAGCAAGCGACGTCGTCGAGACCTTTTGGTTTCCGGAGTCGAAGATTGTGATGCTCTTGTTTTCGAGTGAAATGCCATAGATTCCTCGGGTGATGCTCTATTGGGAAGCGGTTAGTTACACCCTCAGGAAGTTGGACAAGTTGAAGTGTCGATGGCGAGGACTTACCCAGTCGAAGAAAAGACTTGTTCCAATACCAGTCCAGGTAAAGCTTGGGTTAGTCTCCGCCTTCTTGATCAAGTAGTCGACAGCGGCCGTCTTGGACTTGAGCCAGTCGCCAAGAATCTCACCCTCCAAGGTGCGAGTATTGAGGCCATACTCGGATGGGATGAAGCGCTTCACGCCAGCAGCGATCGCCGCATCGATGAGCGGGTCTTGTGAACCGGGGACGATTACAGCGACAGTGGAGATGGCAGAGATGACGGCATCCTGACCGGCAAAGGCGGCCGTGAGGGACTCAACAGACGACAGGTCTGCCTTGCGGACGGCGACGCCAGATGGGAATGTTGCGGTGGAAGCTTCACGGGAGATGGCGGTTACTTCAAATCCCTTTTCCAGGAGGGCTTTGACGACTCGCAGACCAACGAGGCCGGATGCCTGGATTCAGTTGTGAGCTTCGGTTTCATGTCGCTGTGTTGTTGAATCACTACTTACACCAACGATGGCAACTGTTTTGATGGACATTTTGAATAGTATTTGATATTGATCGACGAATAGAGCGCAACAAAAACCCGAGAGAGCGAAGACTTCGCATGCAAGGCACCAGATCTTGCTATTTATACGTGAAGATAGAGCTTACAGACAAGGGGATTTCTGCCCCTCCAACCCCTCCATCCCCGTCATGAACTCTAAGGTTTGCGCCATCTGGCATGCCGGT